TGGATTCAGCTCAGGTGTCCAGATAGTCAGCCACCAAGTGTGTGGTGCTGGCTCTCACCTACAGTCCTAGACAGGCACGGGTGATTGGTGTAGGCACAGGCATCTGGCTGCAGCAGGGGGACACGTGCTGAGCAAGGCAGTGCGCCAACAGCCACCCCTAAGTGTCCATGAGGAAAGCATGTCCCTGTTCCCTAGAGCTCTTAGGTCGTGGGTTTTGCAGCCGACTATGAGCACCCAGTGCTGTTGGCTGTAAGGACTCGGGGGAAACCTCTTATTCTTGGGCCCCTATCGCAGGTGGCTAGGTCATGTGGGTGGAGCTGCTAGTCCTCAGGCCCCCAGTGTGGGTAGGTGAAGACTCTGCTTAATGGGCAGAGCAGTGTCAAATATCACGAACCCACCACTTCACAGCTGAAATGGTTGAAGTTACACTTCAGGTATATACCCTGTTGTACAGCGGTAATGAGGGCCTACACTGTTGAAACGGGCCCACACAAGTCTATGCAGGGGGAAAGTCACTCAAATTCCATGGATCCCTTATTCTTGAGCCTAGGCAAAGGAGCTGTGCCTACCTGGCTTAGAGGAGCTGGCAGATTATTTTTTCCCCCTGTTTGTTAATTTGTTCCCTCTCCAAGGCCGGGAGAATGGCTCAGGGTGCATGACAGGTCCTACTTCTGGCCCAGGGGACTCGGCAATCGCTGAAGCCATTGGTACCCAGTGTGGAGCAGGGAGCGGGGGGGTAAATGGGAGAGAGGTTTTCCCCTAAGGGGGGTGTTTTTGATCCACACAGTAGGCCAGACACAAGTATTTATCTTTCACTGATCGAGGGCTGCTTCTCATTGGTTCTGGATGGCCGAGTAGACTTTGTGCCACTGGGTCTCTCCCGATGTGGAAAATGCCTCCTGAGCACCACTGCTTACCTGCCTCACTGGGCACCCCTTAGCTGATCTGGGCTGAAGGGCTCCAGCTCCTGCTGGGTCAGGTCTGGCAACTCCTCACTGCTTCTGAACTGTCTCTCCCTCCCCCTGCCACCCAGACCGATTCTTCAACTTTGTCTTTGATGTTCAGGGTTCCTAGATTGTCATATATAATCAATTCACTTGGTTTTTGGGTCTTTGTTGTAAGAGGGACCACTGGAAGCATCTGACTACTCTGCCATCTTGGCCCTGCCTCCTGTTTACTGAGACTTTATGTTTTTCTTCTTTATTTTGATGAGTAGGTTTGTTAACTTTCTTCGTGGTTATCTTGAAATTTACCCCATCTTCCTAAGTTTAGCCAGTCTTTTATTACTTGATATCACCTTGACTTCCTCTCCATTTGAAAGTTCTATACCTAGACTGTTTATTTCCCCTTTTATTGTTCTAATGTTATTGTCATTTACAGATTGACCTCTCTGGTTTCCCATTGTAAATTTTGTAGTTTAGTTTTATCCTTGAGAGTTCATTACCTAGGATGGTATGTGGCTGATGCTGTCCTGTCCCTACATTCAGGTTTTTGTCTGATATTGTTGGTTCTCTAACTGAAGGACTCCCTTTAATAATTCTCGTAAAGTTAGTTTGGTTTTTACATATTCCCTTAATTTCTGTTTATTTGGAAATTTCCTAATTCAACTATCATATCTGAGCCAGAACTTTGCGGGATATGTTATTCTTGGTTGGCAATTTTTTTCTTTCAAGGTTTTATATATGTCATCCCATTGCCTTCTTGCCTGCATGGTTTCTGCTAAGTATTCAGAGCGTAGTCTTATTGTTTCAAATTAGGAAACTTTTGTCCATTATTCCTTCAAAAATTTTCTGGAGCCACTGAGGCTTGATGAACCCCTGAAATTATTGCCCTGAGATAATTTTTAAATATCAAAACAAAAATATCCCCTGAAGTCTTCTTTAAAACAAACAATAGTTTAGCTCAATTAGTAAAGAATGTCTGCCTTGAGCATTGTGCTCTTTTAAAGAACTATCTATATGGGATAGAATTGATAACAGCAATTTGAAAGAGCAGATAGGAAACTCAGGGGCAGTAAGTTTATATTAATGGAGGAGGAACAATACAATCAATGTCACTGAATTGTACATGGAGGAATTGTAGAATTTGTGTATGTTCTACTGTGTATATTCTCAAAAAAACAACAAAAATATAAAATAAACTACAAAATGGACAAAAGCTGAGCTGGAGACAAAAACATGGAAGTTCATATTCCTGTTCAGACGCATTTTATTATGTGATGTTTTAGTGTCTTCCTATGTATTCTACTTGATTGCTCGGACTGTGAAAATTACAAAATAAAAATCAAGCGGCATGTAAAATTTTTTCTTTTTTTATGCTTCACTATCATTATCTTCTCCTTCTGAGGTTAAAATTACATGTCTGTTAGATTGTGATATTGACAAGTTCTTTTTGTTTTTCTTAATTCTTCTTTTTCTCTTTTCTTCAGATTGGACAATTTATATTGATGTGCCTTCAATTTCACTGACTCTTTTTCCTTAAATCTTCGGTATACTGTTAGGTCCCTCAAGTGGATTTTTCAATTTAAGCTATTGTACATTTCAATGGTAGAATTTCTATTTTTTATAGTTTTTATTTCTCTGCTGAGATTCTCTATTTGTTCACTCATTAAGATACTGTTTTTCTTTAAACCTTTCAGTATATTTTTCTTTAATTCTTTGATTATATTTCTAATAGCTGTCTTAAAGTCATTGTTTGCCAAGTTCAACATCTGGACCATCCCAGATTATTTTTTTAGTGACTGCTTTTTATGATGTGGACCATATTTCCCTATACAGGTAATCCCTGGCTTACAATGGGGTTTTGTTCCAGTGACTCCATTGTAAGTCTGTTCTGACTTATGTTGACTACCTCTTTTTTTTTTTTTT